GCACCAATGCTGATGAAAACTATCCTGGTATCATCGAAACGAGACTTCTCCAGCGGTTCCTCCAGGAGTTCCTGGTTGCTCGTCCTTTAGACGCCTTTGCCGCATCAAGGTTACATGGCCTGCGGTGCTGGTCTCTCCGCTTTCAATTGGATCAGTTCGATGTCAATTTAGTTGCAGCATTCACAAAGAAGTACAAAGAAGAGAGTGCCAGAGCTGCACAGGGGGGCCAAGATTACTCTGGTCAGAAAAGGAAAGGTAACCATAATTCAAAGAGTCGAGCTATGCTCTACGCTGCTAAGGCTCGCGCAGCTGCTGCGCATCCTCTACTTCTCGCGGAAATAACCAATGGGAACAAGAAGATGGAGAAGATGAAGAAGCCTAGAGATGCATCTAACAATGACAAAACCAACAACAAGACGCCCGTGCTAGGGAAACGGACGATCACAAGCGAGGATATCGATCAAAACGAGCGAGCACTCTGGCTGGAACTCGTGAAAAGAGACCCGTTCCTGGAGCAATGCTCAGCCCGTGTTCGAGCAGCTTTGACCACGTACGACTGGTTTCGTCAACAATATCCAACGGAGAAGATCGCTATATGCTCGACCTCCCTCAAGTTGCTCGACATCGTGGCAGAGGTTCTCAGAAGAAAATACGGAATCGACGCGGTCCGATTCGATGGTTCCATCCCCCCTCTCAAGCGAACATTCATCTTGCGGAAACTGGATACTGAACCACCATGCGTTCCTTTGCTGATTACTGCAGGCTCGGGTAAGTGGTGCATACTGACGACAAAAATGAGAGCTTTACTAACTAAGTAATGTCAGGGGCTTACGGGATCAACATTGTCAGCGTTTCTTGTATCATTCAGATGGAACCCTGGTGGAATATCAACAACGAAGAGCAGTTGGTTTGCCGTGCTTACCGCATCAATCAACAATCAGAGGTCAAATACATCCGTTTGGAGGCAGAGAACAGTGAAATAGATCAGGAAATTATGCGTGTACAGCTGAGAAAGAAGGCTATCAACGATCGTTTGATGGCGCCGTTGGTCCATCGACACGATGAACAGCCGAGGATTTTGGATCTCCTTCTCTGAGTCAAGTCACCTCGAAGAATGAGCGGAGAGGCACATCCATTCGCAGAGTCGACAGCGTCGTTCTAACATCATTTTTGGCGTCAATGAAACATCTTCAAGCTTTGCAGTCCTGGAGAGCGCTACATCATCACAAACTTGGATTACTCTTCTCGCTATGGTGTCGAAGAACACGGGTGAAATCGTAACATATCACGTGAACCGATTTGTGACTTGCAGCCCTAGAATTCACTAAAAAGTACGTTTTCTGCTGTGATATGTTGACTGATCTTGTTGAAACACCCTTCGTCTCGTACCATACGGGTTCTCAGTCAACCCATGTTAGAAAGCACCTTTTATCCTGGCTCTTCAGGAAACATCGCCGTCTCGCGCCAGACGGGTTCTCAGTCAACCCCTATTAGAAAGCGCCTTGTACCCTGGCTCTTCAGAAATCATCGCCGTCTCGTGCCGCATCGATTATTGTTGATGTTAGCTATGGGGAAGAGTGGTACACTGGCTGGGTGTATCGTTAGCAGCATGTCTTTGACCATTCCAACGTCTTGACTGCCAGGCAAAAGATCTGTGTTTGCTGTCTCGCACCGACTGCGATCTTGCGGTCAGGCCTCGCTGGAGGGGAGGAGCACAGTTTCACATGTCAGCAGAGATCTCTTACTTTGACGTCGTGGAAGGCTCACCGCGGCCCCCGCCACCCTCCTCCCTTCTTCCTCTTCTTCCTGCTCTACTTCACATCTTTTCCTCTTACACTTCTTTGATTTTGACCTTCTTTCCAGCTATCATTGTTATTTTCGGCCTCGGAACCCAGTATCTTCGCCGCTAACCTACAGATCGAACCGACCTCGTCGAATTGACACCTGTGAGGCGTCTGTCACACCCAAAGATCCGACGCTGACACTGAGAACAGGATAACCTTGCTACACTCACCCGCGAGACGGTCACGTAGACGTGAAACGCTGGATATTTGCTCATTTGATCGCGACCGAAGCACCCTGATCGCGCAGCTCCGATTTCTTGACGCTGGCCCACATCAGACCCACTTCAACCCTGCAGAAAGACATTGGCACGAGACGTCCTTGTGGCCTTTAGAGTATCTCATAATGCCTCAAAAGACGAAGGCGTCACGAAGCTGGATGGCGGATGAGACCGTGGCGAACCAGGAATGCGACAATACGACTGATACCGGAGCGAACCCACTCGTCACTGATGGGGAATGCTTCACGGCACGAGACACGACTTCTGGAGACACCCTTGAGCCGGTGGAACCAGGAGAGCGCGATGGAACTGCCTGTGCCCAGGTGAACATAACTTCTGACCCTTCGAGACAGTCTCCGGCACGAGATGCTCCCCCTTCGGTGAGATCCTTATTCAATGCAGATGCACTTCGTACAGCCATCAGCAAGGGAATTGATGAGGCGTTTAGTGAGGGGGAACCACGAAACGCCCCGCCCATCACGAAAAAGCAACAAAAGAAGCGAAAAGCCGCTACAAACCAGGGCATGGAAGACGAGCCAGGGACATCCAAGAAGAGTAAAACGATTGAGGATAAAGGTAAGGGCGCGCTGAGGGGAAGAGCAAAGAAGATCCATGAGCACTCTACCGCTTTGGAAATCTCCAAGATCACTGAGGAGCTTCAGAAGAAGGGAAAGGATGTGGCGCGAGAACTCGGGATATTCTTAGAAGGTGATCAGGTGGTTCTCAAAGTGGCAGGCCTTACTATTCCCGCCTCCGATGCTCCCCAATCTGAGAAACGCCGCTTCGATGCAGCCCTATCGTCCGCAATCATGGTCACCGAGAACAAACACATGACGGAAAGTTGGTGGCAGTGGACTTCTCAGCAAGTCGAGAAAACCCTCGGAATTCGACAGCTGGATGAGGGAGAAACTGCAGTTGATATCCAACAACTCTTAGATGGCACGAGACGCCGGGATTCAAGTCAGTACTCGGCTGAAGAGAGTGATTCGCAGGTGGAGGATGGTCAAAAGAGCCGAGGGGGCGGCCAGGTTGCCAGGAAATACCTAGAATCCATGAATATGTTGGGTAGTCAACGAAGGAACCCTACTCCAAGGGGATCGAAGGTTACTATGACGACGAATTCGCTCATTCGAGAAGGGTTAGCTTTACAGGATCAAAAGAAGGCTCGAATACCGGATTCTGTACGTTACCCAACTCTACCTTCTAACCATCCAAACTGGTCAAAAGTTGTCACCAAGGCCGAGCTTTATACTTTTATCAAGGAGTATCCTTTTCAGAAAACGACACGTCATGAACTACTTCCGAAGTATTTCGGTAACCGCGGCAACATATACCTGAAAGGTCCGGGCCTCGACCTTGTCAAAGAATGGGTTGCTCGGTTGGAGGAGATCGGAAAGGGGGAATTCCCGAAAGATATGATCCCTATTGAAGTGATGGTCGGTCTCCTGGCGAGGTACAATGAGACTGTGGCCAGACTATCAACTCATGGGATGATCAACAGCGAAGGAAGAATCAGGAAGAAGGCTTTGCCAAAGCTTGAGGAAAATCGCGACCCTACCACGGGAAAGTTCTTGAAAACCGGTCCAGGAGATGGTGATGTCCGTCCCCTTAATGAACTGGGGGCCCGTGAGGGTGTTGTTCTAGTGCTGCAAAACAACTACACCACTCAGAATCGGAAGACGCAGGAACGGACGGATGTGACGCGGTCGGCCCTTCAATCCGGAACTTTGGAACTGGCTAAAAACAGACACATTCAGGATCAAAAGATGGACGCGATGTTGAAGGCCTTTAACGCCCAGCTGTCAACTATAAAGGCTCATCCGGACACAGACACCAGCGCTCTAGCACGTCAAATCGAGGAATTGCGAGCCATAGTCAGAGACCAGACATCCGAGCTTTATTCGCTGAAGAAAGAATACCTTGAAGAAAAGAAGAAGCGAGAGCAGAGAGACGAGATGCTGCTTACGCTTCATAATATGCTGATCGGAGACACTCGTGACTTCTTGATGGGCTCTGCGGGACGAGACGCGGAGGAAATGAGTGGAGCATATGCGGAGATCTCAAAATTGTGGCTGGGCGTCTCGCATCATGGGATGGGTGAGCATAGTCAGCCTTCGCAGACGGCCTTGAAAGTCTCCAAAGCCAAAGGATCTCCGCGGCGTATCAAGGAGGAGATAGTGGACAACGATGATACTGACAGCCTCTCTTCGGAGGGAGAAGAAGCTAACTCACCCGCTACCAGACTGCAACAGATGATCCTCGCCCGTAACCTCCTTGAACAGGCAGACGACGAATCCAGCGAAGGAGATGCGTCCTGATTCCGAGGCTTCACATCGATCCTTTGATGTTTGTGGCGAGCTAAATCAAGACTGGAGCTGGCACGAGATGCTCTTTCAGTGACGACTCATCGGCGGAAGAGAAACTTCAAGCATCTGCGACCATTTTTCGATAATCATCTTCACCAAATAATCCAAAAAAAAAAAAAAAAGAACGACACCGGCGGTGCTGGCGGATGAAACATTGGCTGGAGTTGGCGTTAGCTTGGCTGGTTTCGACGCGGACGGTTCTTGCGCGGTGTTTCTTATTTTTGCGCTGACCACTGGGTTCTTTCTATCCCTATTTCTCCGGTATCGCAACAACTTGGGTGCTAGATGGATGTGCTACTGTACTGCGGCACGAGACTATTTAGTCTCCCCGTCTGATGGTCGCTAAGGTGAGGAAGAGGCACTTTACAAGAACTGCTAGTTATTAGACACAGTCCTTTCTAAACACTACAAAATAGGATTGCTAGCCTTCGTTGCTGCTCAAGATATCCACTTTTTGTAACTTGAACTTACGTACAAGACGACATGCCTATTTGCATCTGCATTTCCAATGTCCCCTCGCCGTGATATCGTCTTTCTCTCCTCTCACCTCGATCAAGTACATCCCTTGCGGTTCAACTAGGAGACAGGTCCAGACGCCCCAGAATCTCCACTATGTTATGAACAGGTTTCACCACCCCTTCGCCCAGAACGTGTGTAAACTCGGCGACAAGGAATTTCGCGACGTGATTAAAGGCAAGCCGGGCAGAGTCAGTGTCTGGTGCCTCTGCATACTTGACCCAGAAATCAGCAGGCCCCGCACCTTCCAAGACATGGTCCCCGAATTGCGAATTCAGCTTGGCGGAGAAAGAATAGTAGTAATCCAAGATTGACTGTAGCTTTGCCCCAACAGCAGCAAGTAGAGCGTCCTGCGACTGTTCGTCCATATTCGACGCAGTCGGTTTGGGCTGTGCCTCTTTTCCCAGAGTTCTGTCGAGGGTAGAGACCAGATCTTTGACGAATCCTTCTTCATCCATGATGTTTTCAATGTTTGCCTGCTGTTTTAGCCGATACATACCCTCAGCTAGGAGCCCTTTGAGTTGGAAGTTTTTGATTTCTGCACCCTGCTCGTGCATCAGTCGCTGCAAAATAATTACTCTCTCCGCAGTCATATCTTGCACGTCGGGCCAAAGTCCCGAAACCTCTTGGACCACACCAGCTGCCCATTCATTCGTGAAATCGACCGTGTCGTTATCGACAAAGCTTTGGAGTGCCGGCTTCGATTGTAGTGGCCGGTAGGCGATGTCAACATTAATCCTCCTCATAAGCCTCTTCATCTCTTGAAGCAACCAGTCGTCGTGACTCTTCTTGAAGGCCATCATCAGCACCTTCATCTCGTTGCCACAGTCCTCGTGGGAATCGACGATAACCTTGCCGACGTTCAATGCTCGTTTGAATGCTTCTTGTTTCGCCGAGGGTTTCATCTGCAAGCCGACTCGGACAGAGTGTTGTGAGATATTCTTTCTCCATGAAGTTCTCCTCTTCGAGACGTTGGGCTCGGTATCTCGATATTCAAATCGGAAGAAGACATCGTCTTTGGCCAGCGAATATGGAGTGCATAGCCCCTTATCTGGCTTCAGGAGCACATAGAGCTTCAGCTGCTCGGGGGAGAAGTCGAGGATAGGAGTGACGACATAGCTAGTGGGATGTTTGTCATCTTCCCAGGGCAGAATCTCATTCGGTTTGAAGACCCCCACGATCTGTTTGGTGACTCCTGGGTCTTGTGATCGATACTTCTTGTCGAGGTTCGCTTTGGCATAGCCGACCACGAGGAACTGCCCAGTACCAACCTGGGGGGCTTTGGTATCCTGCTCACGCATGGTGAAGTCCATGCTTGGGCGGAAGATGGGTTGTTCGGCTGTTGCGGTGTCTTCCTTGTTCTTCTCGATGACATCGGACCAACTGGTGGTGGAGGCATTGCGAGCGACAATGACTTGGTGTTTATCTCGCTCGGTGCATTTGTCTTCCATGGCCTTCCCAAAGAGGTTGAAAGCCAGGTTAGGGATCTGCTCCTGCGCAGCGGTCTTGCCTGCTCGGACTGCCTCTTTTGAAGGAGCTTGAGGCGCCATTGCGGTGGCTCTACGCGGGGTGAAGACCGACAGCGTCGATTCCTTCTACTAATGGACTGAAAGTGGATAACTATTGAAGAGAAAAAGAGAGGAAACAACTTGTTGAAGATGGAAGGTGCGAGACAAAGCCTTTGTGAGGTAGGAAGGTGGGTAGCTAAGGTCTCTTTGGCACTGCCCTGACCAATTCACCACCATATTAGCTACTTCCTCATTTTCCTTTCACCTTCACGTTCACTCCTCACCTTCACTGACTGCGTGTCGCTACCTTTGCTGGGTATGCTATCTGCGCCTGAGTTTGATTGTTTGGAATCTGTCTCGTACCGTTGCTGCATCATCTCTGACCAGTGTCTCCCCTGAGGTGGCCACCTGCACGACAAAGAGGTGGCCCTCCTTATGCCCACGTCTCACAATGGCCTCTCTAGCCAATATGGACATCGATGATTTTGACTCGGATGATGAAGACTTTGCTCAAGCAGTCCTTGGCAACCGACCGGTTGTACATCGTCGCTACGCAAAAGCTGGCGAAGATGCACTCTTGAGCATGATCGAAAACCAACTTGTCGACCGCGTCGAATCCAAGCAAGCCTTCAAGAACATTGACTTCCTTGATGGCACTGTTGGCTCTGCCTACCTGCGTGCAAAGACGAAGAATATGATCCTTGGCTATTTCAAGCTCATCAATCATGAGTGTGTACAGCCTCTTACCTCACTACAGTCAATCGTTACTGATATCTTCATTCCAGTCCGGCTATTTGTCCCTCTGGCCAGATCATATTCCGCTACATTGCCACTACTGTGAAAAGAATGAAGCCAGGCGGTCGAGACAAACCCGCACCCAGCCTTCGTACTGTTCTGCAGGTCTGGAGAGCGACGAACAACTACCTCAGGTTTCAGTACCCCAACTGGAAAGAGAACTATACCTCCTCCGACATGGTCAAGATAAAAACATACCTTGAAGAGCAGGTTACACAAGGGAATTTGATCAAAGGATATTGGCAAGAGAGAAATTACTTGGGATTCAGCGTCGTTGTCCGCATGCTGACCATGTACATCCGATCTGCTGTGGAAAGTGGATGTCAGAACTGGGATCACGTTATCCTCCACTGTCTGGGTGTTGCTCTCACAGTGGCGTGCTCTTGCAGACCTGGAGATGTTGCCAAGAGTGCCGATGCCCCTGATGGAATGTCTTGCTTAACCTGGGACTGTGTCAACCTGCAGGTGATCGCTGACGAATTAGGCGAGGTTCGGAACATCCGTGCAAGACTGATCCTGAAATTTACCAAGGGTCACAAGTGAGTTTGTTCCCACAATGCTCGAGTCGACTGCGTCGGTTTCAGCCGCTTACTGACCGGTCATAGGGATTCTCTGAACGACGATAAGACTGTCTTCTTCGACAGCCTGGAGCAAGGCGAACACAGTTGTGCATGTACAGTCAAATTATTGCTTGTTCACGCCCTGCGAAACGGATTCTGCTATGGCAACACCATTAGCGATGTGCTTAAAGATGCATTGGCTTCGCGCGGCCAGCGTATCAGGTGGAAATACCCCGATCAACCCGTGCTCTCTTCCGTGGGTACAAATCTAAGACTGCAGCTCGACACTCCTGCTCCCGCATCACAGATCAAAAGAGGGGTCAGAAAAATGGCAGGAGTTGCCGGCATTCTTGAGAAAGTCAACGCCAGAGATCTTCGTCGTGGTACCGCACGAGATCTTGCTCATCTCAGCAAAACTTTCAAGGGAGTTTGCGGTAAAAATGTGGCGGCTGGTCTCGGCCACACCCGAGCCTCTTTGGGCAAAGGAGTCACGGAACGTTACGCTGGTCCTGTACAAGAGGATCTCCTCACCGCGCGTACAAAGGACTCTTTTCAGGATCGCATGGCTCCTGAACTCAACGAAGTAACATATGACGATATTCTCCCCACTGTGAGAGCCCAGAGAATCTCTACTTACCGCATCAATAAGCGTCTCGAGGAGGATGGAATCGACCCGGTCGATGCCTCCATACAGCTCCGACGGGATACAGCTGACATTATTCGACGCGAATCAATACACAATGGTCCACCTAAAAAGCGTCTGCCCCAGCCGTCTACTAATGTTCCCAACAAGAAGTCGAAGACGGGAATGAAGCCTGTAGAGGTACTGAAGGACCCGCCGACGGCTCCGCCCTCTGGCCATCTGAATACCATTCCAACAGGCCGCCAACCGCTTCGAGAGCTTTCACGGTCCGAGATGAACGCATCACAATCCTCCACTGACTCGTCAGCCATCGACCCAGGTAAGTAATCTACGACGCGTTCAATTAACCCCGTTGGAACTGACATCTATCCGGGGACACAGCTCTTTTCATGCCCTCAAATGCTCCTGCTCTTGGCATGGATACTCCACAAGGACCTGCTGCGGCAATTTTCGAGGACCATACTGCTACGAAGCCTCCTTCTGAGATCGATCTCCTTGGTGCGCGATTGTTCGAAGACCAGCAGATGGTCGACCAGCCACAAGCCAATCATTATAGAACGGTCCCCCAACCCGGCTGGAATGCCCATGTCGATGACCATGTCAACGGTCTAGATCAAGAGAGTGCTGCAACGGATTTGGACGAAGAATCTGAGGAGGCCGACGCGCAGCAGCTCACTGCACTTGAAGACATTCTCTGGGGCTCTTCAGCGTATGAGAGATCGGACGGAAACGACGCGTTCGATTTACAGGCCCAGGAAGATTTCAACCAACAGTTTCTTGCCCTGGCAATATCTGATCAGTCTCCGGAAGAGGGTGATGACGATGACTCGGATGATGTCGGCCACGAGTCTCTGCCTGGCCCTGACCACCAGCCATGGTTGATGACTGGACTCGCCTGGATTGCACACTTCGCCGCAATCAATGAATTTGTCACCAGTAAGCCTCTTCATAAGATGGCATCCGATGAAGTCGCCAAATACTTCCCGGTGGGTAACTCCCGTAATGCACCCACAAGACTCAAGCGTTTTTGTCGATTGGGCTGTGGCTCTTTCTTTTGGGGACTCAACAAATTGGACGTTCATCAGGCCTTTTGCACTGGGCCTGATACTGAAGACGAATCCGACAAGAAACTTCAATGCGATGAGCCGGGTTGTGAGATGAAATTTACAAAGCGTGGTTCCCTCCTTGCCCACAAGCAACGGATTCATGCCTTCAAACCAATGAAGTGCCAATCTGGTTGTAATCCGGAAGCTGAAGACTCTCCCGTGTATAACACCTGGCAGGAATATGTTCGCCACCAAAAAGCAGTTCACTGGACTCTCGCGGAGCCAAGAAAGTGTCCATTGTCCGATGTTTGTGGCTCGGAGACTCGGTTCAAGCTGATAGGCGACCTCACTCAACACCTCAAGGGAGTACATTTTCTCAACCGGGCCCAGATCGATGAACTTGTGGAGAGGCCAGAGCGGCGCAAACCTCTGGCGTCGAAAGGTATCCAGTGTCCACAGGCCAACTGCGAATCGACCGCGTCGTTCGACGCGCCTGGAAAACTACGAGATCATCTCTTCAAGAAACATGGCATTCCCAAAGATGACGCACTCCGACGTGCAGAAGAGTTACTGGGAGCTATGATACACCGCCCATCACAGGTGGTGCTTAAGCCATGTCCGCACGATGCTTGTCTTGAGAGCTTCTCAGCCCCCGCCAAGCTACGTGATCACCTACAGAAAAAACACAGTCTTTCTAGAGATGAAGCAATCCGCCAGGCAGAAGAGTTACTGGGAGCTGTGGTACGCCGCCGACCACCGACGGTGCTTAAGCCATGTCCGCACGATGCTTGTCTTGAGAGCTTCTCAGGCCCCGCCAAGCTACGTGATCACCTACAGAAAAAACACAGTCTTTCTAGAGATGAAGCAATCCGCCAGGCAGAGGAACTCTTAGGACCAGTCGGCGCAAAGACTGGTCGCCGTGGTCCTGGCTCCTAGCCAAAGGTTTCAGGTCCCCACCCTTGTCCCCTTCAGTTAAAGTGCAAATCGACGGCATCGTTTCCCTCACCATGCACACTCTCCCAGTACCTCAAAGAGGTGCACCACCTCCCGCAAGATGAAGTGACTCGCATTACCGTGGAGACACACGGTAGAGACGTTGCGCGGTGAGCGATAAAGGAGTTGACCCAAGTCAGCTGCGTGCAATCGGGATGTTATCTGCGGTTCTTTTCGACGGAAATATTATTTAATACGGCATGAATTTACCAACAACACAGCGAGATTCGACGGTGTCGAAGTGCTCAACCAACACTCATTGATGTTATGACTACTTCAGGCATCCTACAGTCCATATCAGGCAGCGCAAATAGATATGAGATAGAAATGATAGATTCTAGTATTTCAGCTCCAAGGACAGTAAAGCTATGTAGTGGTGGTAGTCACCAGTCTCAGTCCGTGCGTTTACATGCGTCTCGTAAGCATATGTCCATGTCGGTCTCTCCATTCATGGCTCCATTACTCTAGTCTCGCGCCATGGAGCGACTCCACTATCCACTCTCCCCTTCTCGAACCACCCTTCTGCAGCACATCTCGCTCCGGATCTCATCGATTGAACGTGCGCCATGCCAAGGCTACTGTTCGTCAAGGTCTCTTCAATAGGTTTAGGCCGGTGCATTCGTACCGTTCGAGACGTCCGAGCCCTGTTCTTCCTCACTTCCTGAGTCCTCACGGTCATGAATGTCTCGCGCCACGTCCAGTTGCATGTTGATAAGTTCCTCAGGTACTGAAGCTCTGTCAACCACACCCAATGCACACTGTATCACATTCTTGAGCATGCTTGACTTTCGAGGGCGCAGTCTGGTCGTCATCGTCGTCTCCTCTTCTGTTGCCATGTCTCGTAACAGGTCATCTACTTCTTTCTTGTCCACGAACACATTATTTGCATCGGCCTCCGACTCCGAGGAATCCCACCCGGACGATTCTTCCTAATTTTCTGGGTCATCGAGCATATAGTCGTGTGAGTTCAGCTGGACTTTAGTGTCGAAGTCTTTTGCCAGTAGATGATCGCTTCCCCTAAAGCTCAAACATGGCTGACAATATGCCCGCTGGCCAATGGCGCCACAATCGTGTCTTTCGAGCCCCGTCACGAATTCAATATCTTGGAGCTCTTTAGCCCGCAGCCGTATCATCTCTTCAGGTTCTCGTCCCTTAGCTTCCCGCGGGTCCTCATTCTCTAATTCTCGAGCGCTTTCCATGAAATCCTCCATTGGGTGGGTGGGTCTCTCTCCATAGACTCCGTGCCGATGCCAGGACCTGGATATACAAATTGTGATAGTCCTTATTCGCGACCTCTAGCTGTCTCACGTATCGATCAACTTCGTTGTCAAGCATTTCCATACTGGCCAGTCGGTTGAACCACAAGTGGGTTGACTCTTGACCACTATCATCCGACGGGGTCGATTCCCTGAGTTCTTCCGCATCATCCCGGGCCTTTTCTTTGATCGATTTCAACACTGCCTGGATTGATTCGTCGATCCTCACCTTGTCTTCCACGAAGGATAATACTGCTTTGTTGAAAGTGCTTCTCGCGATGTCCAGTCTTTGCTTCGGGTCTCCTTTGGCGTTCTCGTCGATATGCTGTCCCAGTACCATCGCTATACATTCGTTCGTCCCCAACTTATTCACTGGCCTCAGACCACCGGGTAGATACGAGGTGCGCACAAATCTCCCGGATGCATCGTGGACATTTCCGACCTTCTTCAGAGGCGCTTCCCGATAATTGCCCTTTGCATTCAACAAGCCTTGGGAATGTAACCTCCCTAGAGTGCTTGTGGCATTCGCAAGCAGCCCCCGGACCACCTTCTCAGGCCACAGATCGTCTGGCCATTGGGGCTCTGGGCGATCTTCTGACGAGTTCTCATCACATGTTTGTAGCCACTCCTGACGTACCCTCAAAAGCGGCTGCGCTTTTTCGACCCATTCCTCAATGATCGTGTTGTTCAACTCCTTCGATAGTCTTAAGAATCCTCGATTGTCAAAGTAGGCGGGAGCATTTTTGTGTCTCTCTTGCTTATCGGATCTGTATGTGTTGATGATCTCCTCGATCTGGTCCTTTGTGAACGCCTTTTTCCAGTTTGGGTGGTCTCTGCTTAATTTGGGGTATCTTTCCGCATCAGATATCTTCTTCTTCGTCTTTGAGGTACCGTCTGGATTAAACGTCTTCAACTTCCTCTGTGTGACTGCGTAGCCGATATTCCGAAGAAGGTATTTGCTGGCTGTACTCATCTTGTTGGTCTCGCTCCCCCCAAGGCCCTGAATTGAGGCTGTCGAATCTCCCGCTACTTCATCTTCTCTGCCCCGTTCCTCATCGACTTGCGCAAGTGTCAGTCTCGCCCCCTCCATCATCTCGCGAACGCTAATATCCCCAACGTCTTTACTTTGTCTCACACCCGCGTACACTTCAAGTGCCCACGTCCAGGGCTTGTACCAAGTCTCTTCTGGTACATTTTCTCCGTTGCCCCAACTGCTGACACAATTGCTGCTTTGAATTTCCGCTTCTCCTTAGCTGGGGCTTTGTCAACTGGCATCTCGAGCCCTGCCAACTCCAGCTTGGCCATCTCGCCGTCGCGAAAGATACCCAATCTCTTTGATGGATCAATCGTCGTAATCTCCAATGCCGTGGAATCAGTAGTGACTTTCTGCGGTCTGTTAGTTTTGGGTTTCTTCGACACGTTCTCGGCCGTTGGTGTTGAATCTTTCGCCTCCTTCCTCGGGCGCTTGCTCGATTTCGGTTCTTCATCCTTTGTGGCCTGATGAGTGTCTCCTTTGATCTGTAACTGAGCACCTTTTAGCTTGAGCAACTCGGGAGTGTCAGCCTTCGTCTCGCCCCGTGGCATTTGCACTTCCCGGATACTTTTCCAGTTCATTCTGGCCAGGTTTTCTTCAATCTTGGTATCCCGCATGTTCATGTCCCAGCCATCCACCGCTTCACATATTTGTTCAAAAGTGAACCACTGTCCCCCTTCCACAGGGCCGATTACACTATCTGCGACACTCTATGGTACGAGAGCCTTAATCCTCTAACTTTACCTTTGTCACCTTTCTACCCTCTCCGAGTTAATTTTTCATTCTAAATGAGATTTCTCACGGTATGAGACTCCCAGACACAGGACATTCCGCATGCTTCTATTGTCCGTCGAAAACTATCCCCTTACTACGACTAAAGCCCCTGGGCTGCGAACTTTCCACGGAATGAGACCTTCGCACGACATCAAGCCTAAAGTCGTGCCTGTATTTTCATATTTCTAGGCTAACCTAGCATGCCCGATTCTATTGTCCTCTGCCTCCGTGATCAATTACGAAATTCCACAGTCAAGGTCATCGAGATATCACCCCCTCCTGTTCAAAGTGGGTGTTTATCTTCCGCCACTTGAGTGAGATGCTAACAGCTAGCAGCGGAACTCCATGACTACATGGGTGCTGACAAGGGACGGGCGTTGGGAATGCCAATCGACAAGTTTACGCAGGCTGCCTATGACGGGCTCGTTTCAGGAAGTGATCAGATCGTCATCGGGGCGGTGGGATCATCAGAGACTTTTAACGATGTTGTGGAGAAGCGGAGGACGCTTTTTCAGAATCTGGCCAAAATGATGAGAGGAGAAAAGTAAAGAGAGCAATGCGTGGCCTCATATTGAGCCTAATGTCCTCAAGTAGGAACAAAATCAAAGTTGGTTTAATCTAGTAGTAATTCTTGATCACTCTTCGTTGCACAACAAGCGATGTGGCTGTTGTTAGTTCGGCTTCACCCAGCCTTGGAAGGAGTGGCTCAGTGTGTGACAATCTGTGGTCAGTGTCGAGTCTCCTCGGGATAGTGCTCTTCTTGCACCAATCCTGATGTCTGGCGCGCCGCCTCTTTGGATCTGGGCTTGGCAGGATGATGACGACGAAGACGAGCGCGTGGCAAACTATGAGCCTTCTGACCTGAAGAATCGGCAGCCGAAGCAGATCTTCGAGAAGGCAGCTGGGCAAACATACATCCACTTTGCATATGAACCGGCGTACCGCCGGGCAAGGCGGCTTCTACGTTCTGCCATATTCGGTGTAAGGCCAAACGAAGACTTCAAGGAACTAGAGGAGATGTTCGCGAAGTGGGAGCGTATTCGACACAGAAGAGTGATTTAGGGGGCAAGCTCAGAATTGTCTAAACGCCCACAAGTTGATAGTGGAGAGATGGGAACCGAGAGAATTGTCACGGCCTGAGTTTCAAATGCCAACACCTTCACTAGCGCCCAGCAATTCTCGAGGTGATATGTGTCTGTCTCCTTTACAATCTCCTAAGCGGATCGAGATAGACAAAGCCGATGAGAAAGGGTGTTTATAGCCATGGCGAGGCTGTAGTTTCTCCGAGGTCAAAAATAGCGCTATACAAACTCTTGGCATGTTTGTCCTTGTGGGTATGTTTGCTCGTCCTCCATTGAGCATCACGCACTTCCAGCCTTGTCCCGCAGTCAACAGATGTGCCTAGGTATGTACCAACATCTTCTACATGCGAGCCCCTTTGTCGCCTCTCCAAAGGCTCGTACGTAGGATTTCCCAGCTCACTTCACAACTATACAGTGCCCCCTCTGCCAGTGCAAACATGGATCCATCCCTCCGTTCCCACTACCTTGCGGACAATCCTCCAACCGTCGTCCGCCTAGAGATCGCCCCTCACTTCGCCGCTCTTTCACCCAAACACAAGCGATATGCTCATCATCTGAGTCGTGCTTCTTTCCATGGCACTCGAGTAACGCTAGCACAAGTGTCGCCCGAATCTCCCGTCATCTACGATCTCATCCTTGCCCTACATCGTGCTTGCAACGGTGACTACAAGAAACTCTCCGCCGATACATCGGTCTCGTACCCCAATATTACCCTATGGCTCGAGTACGCTGCCCAGTTCTTAGGGAACACGGGCAACTACAAAGGCTTCGGAGACTCCAAGTTCATACCGAGACTCTCACCCGAAGATCTCAAGAAGCTCTGTGATGTGAACGATGACTGCAAAAAGCTCTATGAGAAGGCCACGCAGACAGGAGGAGGTATATATGAGACCAAGAATGCGGCTCTGATGCACCTCGGATATCCAGAGGCAGGCCATATGACAGCATATTACCCAGATTCGCCAACAATAACCAAGGAGGAGATATCCATCGTCGGAGACGCACTCGAGGAGAAGAAGCTGCTGATCGAGAACACCAGATTGCGGAAGCTGGAATCTGGAGATTTCGAGTTGCTCATTGCCTCCGCGGTCTCGAACCCCCCTCCGTCAGAGCGCGATCTGGGCGATGTTTTATCAATTGACTTGCCAGGAAAACTCAGTGGCAAAAAGTTGCATCTTCGTTTTGGGGATTACCAGGAAGAGATGGCCAAGATCACCCTCGAAATCAAGAAGGCGAGGAAGTATGCCGCCAATGAGGTCGAAGAAAAGATGCTCGACGAGTACGCGAGGTCCTTTGGAACAGGCAGCATTCAGGGATTTGTGGAATCACAGCGCTGGTGGATCAAAGACAAGAAACCCATGGTCGAGACCGACATAGGGTTTGTCGAGACTTATCGAGACCCCCAAGGTGTCCGCGGTGAGTGGGAAGGCTTTGTTGCTATGGTGAATCAAGAACGAACACGCGCTTTTGGCAAACTTGTCGACGCAGCACCAAGCATGATTCCCAAGCTACCGTGGAGCAAGGAATTCGAGAAAGACAAGTTTCTGAGTCCAGACTTTACTTCATTGGAGGTGCTCAGCTTCGCAGGGAGTGGCATACCCGCCGGCATCAACATCCCGAACTACGACTTCATCAGACAGAATGAGGGCTTCAAGAATGTGAGCCTCGGAAACGTCCTTAGTGCTAAAGCTCCCAATGAGCCAATTCCGTTCATTCGCAAACAAGACGACGAGCTCTTCCGCAAATATCGCGATCCTGCTTTCGAGGTCCAGGTGGGCATCCATGAACTGCTTGGACACGGTTGTGGCAAGTTGCTCCAGGAGACAGCCCCTGGAGAGTTCAACTTCGATATTAAGAACCCACCGGTCAGCCCGGTCACCAAGAAACCAATCACCTCATACTATAAACCTGGTCAGACCTGGTCTAGTGTCTTTGGGTCGATTGCTTCATCATACGAAGAGTGCCGCGCTGAATGCGTTGCGATGGCTCTCTCCTGCGACTTTGAGATTTTGCAAATCTTTGGATTTGGCAATGGCAAGGAAGATATCGGAAATGAGGCCGGAGACGTTCTGTACGTGGCGTATCTGCAAATGGCACGTGCCGGAGTGGCCGCGTTGGAATACTGGGATCCGAAGTCTCGAAAATGGGGCCAAGCGCATATGCAGGCTCGCTTCTCCATCCTCCGCACATTCATGGATGCTGGTGGCAACTTCTGCGAGCTCAAGTCTGGGAATGGTGACATCAAGAATCCGGACGACCTCGAAATCCACCTTGATCGGAGCAAGATCCTATCCCATGGACGTCCAGCGGTCGAGGCTTATTTGCAAAAGCTACACATATACAAGGCGACTGCTGACTTTGAAGCTGGGAAGAAGATGTACGACGACATTACGAATGTAGATGATTGGTGGGCCGAGAAAGCGAGACCGATTGTGCTGAAGAAAAAGACACCTCGCAAGGTATTTGTGCAGGTGAACACTGTGTTGGATGAGGAAACCGGAGATGTGAAGCTGGTGGAGTACGAACCGACAATAGAGGGGATGGTCCAGAGTTACGTTGACCGTAACGTCTGAGAGATCAGCAAGGGCAGCATATGAAACCGCGATGCATATGGAATGATGTCTATTCATGACGAGGTCAAGCGTTCTCGCATACCTGATATCACGATCAGCACCGTGGGAATAGCATGAGCCGTTGGTACAAGTGATTGAATCTAGAGAATCAATCCCAAAAGGCAGCATCAATGGCATATTCCAATGCCAATCACATTGACAGTATTCTGACACCAACTCTTGCTTTGTCTTATACAAAGTATAGATGGCTGGACTTGAGTTTTGGCCCCATTTCAAGCTTTTTCCCTCGTGGTATTTCTCCGAAAGGCTTGGCATGAAGGATCCGCGCCTTTCGCCTCCTGGTCTGGAAACCGAAACTGGCCATTTTCCCTGCGCTGCGCCACTTCATCTGAACCAACCTATCGCTACCATCGTTGTGTTTACCTATTTTGATCGATCAATCAGAACACAGGTCCACAACACCGAGTACAAGTACTACCACCTATCGTTCCCTAATAATAGCCCCCAAATCCTTCGGGTGAAAACAAGAGGTCATGTCCACTGGATCTCGGTTGAACCACATCAGCGACCCATCCGTTCAAGACACTAGGCATACAAGTCAGGTACACTCGTACTTTTGGGAAATGATCAGTAAACCGTTGCCTCTAGGCGCTCGCCTTCGCCGAGGATGCTGCCTCTTCCTCAACAACGACTATCTCTGTTCGGCACGGGACTCTTCATGGCATTGCTTCGATGAACCCTACGAGTACGAGGTACTCAGGGGTCCTGCCACACGCTAGTCAACCCAGCGTCTTCTCGATGGAACAGCCTATGGAGCAAACCTGGGCGGCTCTGATTGCACCAAATGCTCAATCCTTGGTGGGTCGCCAGTGAATAATCCACGCTTAACACTCACACCACGACTCCATCCCAGACACGGCGCGATCCTTCTCGACCCAGGCCCACGGATATTGAGCGAAACGCTCCTTGACTTCCCCAGGCGCCCTAAGGAAGGATGGCATGGATGGAAGAGCTGAGTCTTCGCCGCGTCGCCTTGACAAGTGAGGTAAGGAGCAAGAGAGGTAGCTTGCCCAACTTGCGACTTCATCTGCTTACTTTGCTCTTTACTACTCTGTTGTTTCCCACTTCGTCGGGTGAAACCGACCCTAGATTCGTCTTCTCCATAATATATCCTTGGTACAGCTCACTCTTTCTCGATATTGACGATCCCCATCATCAAGATATTCCTTCAGCCCACAACTTTTCCAGTTCTAAGCAGGATGGAAGATTAATCGACTTCTCCTACAGAAATCCAACATGCCAAGCTCACGATATGCCAAGTTCAATCCTTTCGGGGGCTCTCAGCTGACGGACAGCCCGATCTCCGAAGAGCCTCTACAATTTTCCAACATCATTCCAGATTCTGCGTTTTCCCCTCTGCCGGGAAGCTCGCCCAGCGACCATGATGCGGACAGACACTCAAAGAAGGAATGGGCCACAGTTGGTGATCGACACATTTCGAGCAAGTCGACGAATGATATCGCTTATGGCGCTCTTGACGGAAGTCGACCCCCGAGTAAGGCGGATTTGGATTTGTGTGATGCGGAAAGGCTGACACAGTTACAGGACGTCGGAGAACAAGCAACTCATTATACAGAGTTGCCTCTTCTATCCGCGACTATGCTGTCTCTCATTTCAGCGTCCCAGCGATAGCAGCACCGTGGGAGCATGGACTGCCCGAGAAATATGGCTCGGGCTTACCCCCTTCCAACACAGTCCGCTATTTCGACTATCGACGACAACGGCGGCGACTGTTTATGAACAGCAGTGTCCAATGGCTCATCACTGCCGGTATTTGCGCAGCGATGGCAAGTTGTCTCTATGGCTTTTCCACCGTAGTAACTGGTTTGAGCACCGCGCGGAAAGAGATCTTCAACGCCTTGATGACTGGATTGTCACTATGCCTGGGTCTGAATCTCGCGTCCTCGTTAGGTGGCTACGCACAGATGATGCGTTGGCGCTTCCTGGCGTCGGGGTATCGCACGCTCCAGGATTTCGAGCTTCTCTTGAACTGCGATAGTCAGACCCATGTATTCCGCCTGATCTGGGCTGGACGCACCCGTGGGAGGCTTCTACCGAACAAGACGCAGGTTCTTGCCGCGATCTGGTTACTGATCAATATCGCTGTCCAGATATTCACCGCCTTGTTAGGTTTGACCTACTCGACTGATGTCAGTTCTCGCTTTGTGCACCTGACCTATGGAAATGTTAGTATACCGGACCTTTCGTACATCGGCAACTCCCGGACCACGGCTCTTTACGCAGGCAACCATGATACTGTGCAATCTCTCCTTGCAGAAACAGCTACCGCGAATGAATGGGGCATCACTGGCCAGGACTTCCATGTGTTGACGATTCCCTTCGATGA